TTGTTTACCACTTTTTAATTTTCGTGAATGTCCATATTTTTGTACCTAGAACAAAATGAAGGGGTGCCCTGTACAAAATTTAGACTGAGATATTTTGAGGACCACCCTAATGTGCATACACACTTAAACTAACTAAATTTTTGCAATTGTTTGATGCTGGTGCTTTGCTTATGGCAAGAGTTGATGGTTTATTAACTGTTCCTTGTACGAATACTTAGGACGTGCCTACATAGAGATTTCACCTTTTTCTACGAGCATTCATACATATGTATTCACATATGAAGGTGTATGGCCATAATAAAAAAAAAAAGATTTAATAAAAAATTTTAATTCGTATTGAAACTGTGTGCTAGAGTTCATATAAGAACATATCAGGTGTGACTTGTCAGTCAACAACTGCGCATGAAAAAATATCTAAAGTATAAAATAAGAGTATAACAAATCGATACAGTGTCTCAAAACGAGGATTTTTTTTAATTCATGATGTTTTTCACGTTAATTTTTTCTGTTATTTTTCTATAAAAATATTGCCCAAGGCTTAATCAAAAACATTTAATAATAATTTAGTTAATTATTTTTGAGTTTTAAGTGGCTAAAAAATATCGTTGATTTTTTTTTTTAAATTTTTGCTTACTGATTTTTTATGAAATAAATTGCCGAAGACCGTTCGCAATAAACCGCAAAAGCAGTAAAAAAAACAAAAAAATGATCACAAGCTTATTTTTCTTTAAATATTAACCCTAGTTTTCAAGTAAAAATTTCATGCGAAAGTTTTCATCGAATTTTCCAACTTTTGAATGAGATTTTTGTTTTTTAATAATCTCATAATGTATTTGTTATGGGCAATCTTTAGCAGTTGTTTTCCATATAATCATCAATGCATATTTAATTTAAAAAATAGGCGAGACCGTTCACAGAAAAAAACTTACAAAAAAATTAATAATTAATATTTTATAAAGTGCATTTGGTGTATGGAAAAAACTTTTTGCAGTTTGAAAAAAAAATGTATATATATTATGTATAAAAACGTATTCAAACTTTCACTAATATAGAATTTCACCGGCTATAAAACACAATAAAAACCCAACAATTTTCTCAGATTTAAAAGTTGGAATTTCGATGAAAATATTTTGAATTTTTCTCACATTTTTGCCTGAAACCTTTGTGTAAAGCATTTCTTTTATAAAATAATGTCTGTTTTTATATCAGAACAAAAAAAAAATTTTGCAAAAGAAAACACCTACCGAATGCTTGTGTGAGTCACTGCATTGGCTAAATGTTGTGTGAAAAATTTGAGTTGCGCAAAATGTCATGATAGCTACAAGCTGGCGAGTTTTCCGGCTCAACCCACGCAGAGTATTAAACATATAACACATATGTATGTACATATACAACATTATCCCCTAATACTTGCATACAAACACTAAGAGGTGACTTACATACTTCAAGTTGTAATTTTAGTTGGCTTATTGTAAATAAAAATTTTGCCAACACCGCAGCTGTGCCCAGCTATGATCAACTTCTTGCGGTCTGATGTGGTACATAACTATTCCTACATATGTATGTAATTGAATTTGTGTGGGTGTGAACATTTCAAGCTTAGATTTCGTTGAAGTATGTACATACATGTACCACTTACATACTTACATAAATTTATATAGATTACAAGTATAATCAAATTTTTTACATTATTCAATTTCGTCATGCAAATATGACCTTAACGGCGTTTAGGTATCTCTGCAATAATTACTACTGGCAGCTGTTGTAATTTGAGCGCTCAGCTCATATGTAATGCTATGGTAAATTTCAATATATTTAGTTAATTATTTTTGAACTAATTAGAGCAAGCTTTGGAATGAAAAAAATACATTTTGTACGAGTAGTATGAAGGTTACTGATACATATTGTAAGCGTAGAAATAAATATTTTGAGTTACAAAATCAAATTAGTTTAGTTGCTTTGTGTTATTGTTTAAAGAAAAATTGTGTAATTCAATGTTTTATGTATGTGGTTTGGTTAAAGCTTGGACATTTTTTTTATAGAAAAATAACAAAAAATCCAACTCGAAAAACATTGTGAATATTTAAAAAATGGTCACTTGTTTGAGCCACTATATAGGTATGTGGAATATCACAGTGTGTTAAGAAATAATAGCGACTTTGTGGCTGAAAAATTCAAAACTGGAGTGGGAGGAATCCTTGCACTTACTTGCATAATAGTGCAAGCTAAAATTTTACATTTATATTTCCTTGGGATACTCCTTACTTATAAAAACTTAACTTTAAAGAGGTAATAAATCATAGCGCCATTGAAGCAATATGATATAAAATTTAATGACGACGACACCTTAAATCATGTGTCGATAGAAAATTGGAGTTTCTCCATCCTTAATTCATATATTTTTTTTTTTGGCAGCCTGTGCGAAGTATGCAGTAGATTTGTTGACATTTTCCCTCGAAGTTACGCAATTTAAAACTTCTTTCACACTTTAATGAAAGCCATGAGTATTTTTTTCAATAAATTTTGTGTACACTTTCACTATATACGAATTTTATATAAATTATATGATATATAAATTTTTTTCAGTGTTCCCACATTTTGTATTATTTTTTCATTCAAGACTTCTTTGTGTAAATTTGGACAACCATTCGAGTATGCCCAAGGCAAATTTATATAAGGTGGTGTTGCTAGAACAGCTGATTTGATTCGCCTCGATACACATATGTCAAAATTTCTTATAAGTGAGTGAGAAAGTGAGAGTGTTGAAATTTCCTTTCCATCTTCTTCCTTGAGCAAAGAATAGCTGAAATTTTGACAGTTGTGTGCCGAAAGCGAAAACAAAATACATGTAAGTTTTTTTTTGTACTACCGCTAACACCTTATATAAATTCGCCTTGTGAGTGTTTGAGCTTCATATGGGAAAATGTTTGCTTTGCCCTTACATATGAAACTGAGGTACTTTCGTATGAATTGTATTTTGGTTTTATATTCAAAGCGTAAATTTGTATCAGCGCCTATACTTCAGGGCAAAACAAAAACAAATGTGCCACAAGTGCTTATGGAGTGAGCAGCTCTGTCTTAGAGTTTTGAGTGATGCATTTTTTGTTACTAAGAATGCCAATGTCCCGAACATATTTTTTATTTATCTTTGCTGCCTTTAATCAAAGTTGGCCACCCTACTACGATAGGTTGGGTTGAAGTGGCAGCTTGCATCCAGCAGAGGAATGATGCACACTTAGCTTCTACATTAAAGACCTTCTAGGCGTATAAGTTGATCGAACTTTCTATTGTAGAAGTTGGGCCCAATTACATATATCGACTAACTTTTATTTGCCTTCTCGAAGAACTGTGACTTAAGCCATAATTTGCAAGTCGATAGCGGTGTGCCAGCATTGTGAGAAGAGTTGACGTCAGAAACTGGGGTTCGCTTCCTAGCTAGATAGCTTGCCATGCAATTACCTTTGTGTCTCTATAGCCTGATATCCATACTATTAGGGTTGCAAATTAGTATGTTAAGCATCTGCCTGCATTCCATCGCCATTACTGAAAAGGTTTCTATGCAGTACGGGGGGCTAGTTAAGAGAAGAGTCGATACGCCAAAGTGCAGACTCTGTTAAGGCCCGTCCGCATACAATTTCGGTGTTGCGTTGACATTGGCGTCGATTCAACAGCTGACTATGAATACATGAATTCAAATGCAGCCGTCCACATAGCCAAAATTCGGCAACGCTAACGCCGACACAAAGCAGAGCTTTTGGTGGAAATGAGCTATTAGCTTCCCGAAAACTTAACGTCTGGTAGAAACAATTGAGGCGACTCCACCTCATCATCTTGCCTGTAGTATGTAAGATCAGATGTAATTTTTAGTTTTACAGGACAGTGACTTTTCAAATCCACCAAATGTAAGAGCTGTGGCTTTGCAAGCATAAGGAGCTCCTTTAACCGCCCTCGATACACCCTGGATTAGAAGAATGTGCGTCGCATGTCCTATTTACCGTCCGGCATTCGATTTGATCAAACCAAGTCGAATCATTAATAACATCCTATAATACTCAGATGCTTACTTCCACTTACGAACCCGTAAAATGGGTCAAGTTAGTACTGTTGTTCCAGGGTTAATTATTTTTTAAATAAAATTATAGGAGAAGCATTGAAGAGTCAATTCCTAATCCATATCTGAATAAGTTCTTTTTTAAAAGGCATATAAAAAGTTTAAAATAAAAGACTGAAGGTATTTTCCAGGCAACTTAATGCCGCATTTCCACTAGACATTAAATTACTAAAATTTTAATGAGGCTAAAAATACCAGCGCTATTTCGACAAAAATAATAGTAATTTAACCACTTTTCATAATTCAAATGTTAAAAATTTGTTTGTAATTGTTATCGCTTTTTGATGGAAACTCGACATTATTAGAAATTTGAAAAAACTATTGAACTATATCCTGGCGAACAATACGCGTACGGGATAGTACGTATCGCCGTATACGATTATATATCAGAAAGACAACTAATTTCTTTCTTTAATATTCACAAAAAAAATTTTTTTATTTAAACTTGACATATTTGCAAAAAAAAATTAAATTATACACAAATTAAAAGGAAGCACAAATAAATTACACATAAAAGTAACCTGAAGGAATTGTTGCAACAATTTTATGCATTACTTTTTTTAGATATCACAAAGTGAACGTTCATGCAAAGGAAACAAAAGCACGTGAAATTGAAATATATGTACGTATGTTGGTATGTATGAGAAGTAAAATGTAATTAATAGGAAATCAAAAGAACTGAAAAATTAAATTGAAAATAACTAAAAACTGATCGCGATCCTGAACTAAATGAAACTTTGTAAAGTAAATTAAAATAAAATTCAAATAAAAATCATACGAGAAGGAAAAAATAAAACAAATAGTGGAAAAATGTATGAAAAATAGCTAGTTGTTAGGGAAAACAGAAATGCAGACTATGCGGAGCGGTGCAAAAACTCCTTCGACTTTGCCATACCTTCCCTTCGCGCATACACCGCGCATAGCACATCACGTAGTTCAGACAGTATTATCGCTCACACCCAATTTAATAGCTTTCCCCCGCCTTGACCACCCATTCTTCGACCCACCACACTTATGTACATACATACATCGTGTACATCATATGTATTTGTATGCAAACTCTTAGACCTTGTTGAAGCTGTAGCTGAAACCGTCCGGTGTGCGATTGAGTGACAATTTACCGGGTGGTGCAAATCGGTGTGGATTGGGTGTGGTCGGCTGATAGTAGGGTTGTTGTTGTGGCTGAGCCTGTGGCTGATAGTTGTTGTATTGTGGCGCAGGTGGGTTATATGCTGGCGCTGGTGGATTGTAAGCTGGCGCCGCCTGTGGTTGATATTGTGGTTGTGGTGGCTGATATGAACCCGGCGATTGATCGAAACTGGGATCATTGTAACGTGGATCGTAAGAACCATCATCGTAGTCATTGCTGCGGTAGCCACCAGATTGTGGCTGTGGTGGTTGGTATTGCGGCTGCGGTGCATAGCCTGGCTGTGGCACAGGTTGTGGTGGCGCTGGTGGGGCGACAGGCAAATGATCACCGCTGGCTTGGAAGCTGCAAAGATAGAATCGGCGAGTGGGGAGAGAGAACAGATGAAAATGGCAGTTTAGAATGCATAAAAGGCAATGGTAATCAATGGGTTATAATTAAATACAATTAATATTATACGAATTATTCTTAACGCTAACTTGGTAACACGTTTATACTTATATTTATGGCTCGTCCAATTATCCTCAATTATTTTCAGACAGAAAAAAATGCTCTCACACTAGGCATTCATATGCAAATAAAGGTATTAGATTTGCCGCTAGTTTGATACATTTGTAATTATTTGTACATTTGTGTTTTCGTTTGTTAAACAATTGGCTCAATAGTCACAGCTGAATGCACCAACAGCTTAGCCTACAAAGATATCTCTGTATACAATTTCGGTTACACTTCACTTTACTTCGCTTCAGTTCACTTCAACGATAACAATATTTTATTGGTGCCGTTTTTTTGTTTTGAAATATTTTTCTGTCTGTCCGGTCCATGCTGGTTTGTGTTTTGGACATGCGAGTGTTCATAATAATTCACCGTCTTTAATTGCCAACACTGCGCGAATTTTTGCACAAGATTTAACTAACTGACCACAGATTTAATTGGCCACCAAATGAAAATAGATTACGACACCACATAGATACTCACTCGCATTCAAGCATAGTAAAAGTAACTAAACGTGTGCTTGCAAAAGTTAATTTTGTTGTTGGATTATCTCATGGATGGTCTACTTTATGCTCTGATTAATATGACGTTGCAGAGAAATGTAATGCTCTATTTTGTATAAATGTTGTAATTCATTGACTGACGCAACTGGAATTAACTTTCCTGACTACTTATCTTATCCATTGAAATACACGTGGAGAGACGTTTAGAGAAACGCACTGTTGAATATTTTAGGGTCTTTATTTAGCTCCATAATAGGACCATGTATGACTGAAGGTAATGCGAGTATTTATATTCAAATGCATGGCTAATACTCAGCGTGTTTTGCGATGCCTATTAAGTTGTGTCTTAAATGTTAAGTTTATTTTAAAAGTACATTACGTGTATGCCAAGATCAGAATTAATGCCAATTTAGTAATTAAATTGCATCCATACTTGACGGAATCGGGTAAACTCGCACCATAAGCGGGAATCTCTGTAGGGCTATAAGAGCAACTCTTTTTCTCTCTCATCTTAACGTTGAAATTTAAACATCTACAATCGGATCATGTTAACCCCTTTATATGCTTTCAATTACGTTAAGCTTAAAATCTGTAATCAAACTGGAAACTTATCGATTATGTAACGAAAAATATTCAAAATTTCGCTAGACTGAAGAGTCAACAAGCCCTCCAAGCTTTCAAATAAAATTGATAATGTCGACCAGAAATCTGAAGCACATTTTTCTGACTGCGATACATTAAGTTAGAGTTATAGGCTGTTTATGCTGAACGTTAAGTGTGCATTTAGCACATTAATGCAACTCTGAATGTATATTTACCCATACCCTAAAATTCAGCTAAGAACCTAAAGCAAATTTTTGGAAAATACCACTATTCGAACATGGTTTAATGAGAAAAGTGGCAACACTGCTTCTTCGTGTATACATACAGACGGTCGAGGTTTCATTTATTATTTTACATACATTATGTGGGAAAAAGTTAACGCAAATCACATATCGATGAGATGTGATCTGTCCCAATTTGTGATCCACTCTGTAAACGTTGTATGAAAGCATAAACAGACGGCAGCGTTGATCCGGATCAACTCAGAAATTAACTGCAGTCGATCCGGATTAAGTCCGAGTTAATCCGGATCAACGCTGCCGTCTGTTTAAGCTTTTAGGCATATAGTCGTCAGAGGCTACATGTTTAGTTGAGAGAAACTCAGCAAGTGCTTTACATGTTTCAGATTAGTCATAATGCTCTTAGCAGCTGCCCTATCCTTCTCTTAAACTTGTGTCTACGGGAGGAACTTGGTACATCAAATCCTTCCTTATTTCCTGGAACATCATCATGCCCCGTGACTTAATAGGTATACAAACATAGGTTGACGATGTGTTGCCACAAATGGGTAGGTGTAGGTTTCCTAACATTCCGGAGTCTGTAAATTTCCTTCAATGAAAGTTGCTGGCGAAAAAAACTTATTCGTTACAAATCATGTATGTAGCTGTGTGTGGCTGTGTACCCTGTACAGCTGTCCTGTAGCAAATCAAAAAACAGTGTCAGGATTCAGAGATCAGAATATCCTTTCCTTATATATTTTCATGCGCTGAGCACGAATCTGAACTCCGTTTTGCATCATCACGCCAGGATTTCTTCCTAACCTGCCTGTGACAGGTCCGCCAAGTTTTTTGAGCCTAATGAAAAATTCGGACGTGTTGAAGCAAAACGGACTTCAGATTCGTATTTAGGGCACCAAAACACATGGAGGTATGGTATTTCTGTTAAATTAACATGCCAGAAATGTTAACTTGTAAACAATGAGCTGCATTTTTTTAAATCCAATATGGTGGATCAAATATGGCGGAAAAAGTTTTGAAATATTATTGGATTCACTTGAAGTTTGTTACTGTGCTTTTGGGGATAACTGATTACGAATAATCATGAATTTTTAAAATTCAAAATCGTGGATCCAATATGGAGAATTCAATTTTTTTTTAAATGCGCTAAGTTGAATTAGCCCTTTTGAATATTAACCCCAAACAGCGCAATCAGCCCCAGTGATGCTCTACTAACGAAAAATGTTTCATTTTTATATACATATGTATATTGGGGTGATCCAAAATAACTAACCTAACGAATTTATGGCCTTAAAAGGGCTTTTGATTTATTGAAAAGAAAATGCTACCATTTGGAAAAATTTTTATTCCAATTTTAAAAGGTGTCGATGGGCATTTGAAATTTTCCATGTAAATAACATGTAAAAAATTTTGTTTTCATTAAAAATGTTATAAGTATTGAACCGTTTAAGGTTAAGTTTGTTTTTTTCTTGATTATCTAGACTCAAAAATGTATACACTTACTGGCTATGAAAGTCGAAAAATTCAGAAATATGCAGTTTTAGGGAATTAGGATTGGAAATATTCATGCTAAATGAAAAAACTGGCAATAAAATTATACAAGATGTGTAGAAAATGTTGAGTAGAAACTAGAAACAATACTTTTAATCATCTCCAAAATAACCAATTTAAGGTTCATTTTTTATGCCTAAAAAAAATTGTATCTCAAACGGTTCAATAGTTATAACATTTTTAAAGAAACAAATTTTTTTAAATGCTCGGCGACAACCTTTAACATTGGAATAAAATTTTTTCCAAATGGGAGAATTTTCTTCTCATTACTTAATTTATTTGAAAGCCATAAATTGGTTCTGTTAGTTATTTTGGATCACCCTATTGTATAGACATGTATGTACAGATTGTAAAGACCCAGGAGGATATTTTTTCTAAGGGCGGATAAAATTTCTACTGCTGGTCACAATTTCAATTATATAACATGTAAAAATTGATTTCGAACATAGCTCATATATTCAGGGACCTATGATAAAATTAAGTGAGCGATTTTTTCGTAAAAAAAGAAATTTTTAACACTAAACTGCGACAAATACTATCAACAGTCGCGAATTAAATTTGCGCTTACCCATTTTTGCCGGCTGTGTAAGAAATTGTCCGCCGCTCGCCTGTAGGATCTACATAACTGTAGCTGCCGTGACGTGTACCATCCGAATCGGTTTCTTCTTTGAAGTTGATGCCATCCTCCTGTGTGTAGGCTGCACCAAATTTACCATCACCGGCAAGGTAACGCTGTTCACTAATAATAGCCGCTGTTTTGGGATTTTGGTGGTAACCCTGACTCGCGGCAATGGCAATTAATGTGGTTAAAATAGTCTGCAAAGAAAATATGTAAAGAAAATGGTTGAAGTCTTCTGTAATTTCACAAATGCAAATCGGTCGTTGTGGTGTAATGTTAGGTTCAACCCAAGATCAAAAAAAAAATAAAAAAACAAAAAAGGTTTTTCTATTAGCGGTCACCTCTCGGCAGGCAGTGCTAAACCTCCGAGTGGATTTTGTATCATGAAGAACAACTTCTCATTAAAATACAATCACTGCTCGGAGTCGGCGTAAAACTATAGGTGCCTACCCCTTGTGTGACAACATCAAGGCGCACGCCACAAATCGGAGGAGTACAGTTTTGAGTCGCCGAAGGCAAATGGATTTTATGGGAAGCTGGCTTTCCATATATATTTTAGAGATTTTGTGCTTTTGGAGCAGAGATTCATAAATTGATTGAGTTGTGGTAGTATTATTATTTAATTTACAGCTCTTTCCTCTCAAATTTTCATGCCGATATATTGGCCGTTAAAACTATCATTTATTGAGTAAAGCTTTAAAATAGTTTAAGTGCCACAACTTGATCAAGAAAGTACATGAAAATAAAAAAATTGTGGTGAGTTTGAAATTGTTTGGTGCTTTTTGAGCTTCTACAAACGAACTGGGCACTCAATTCGCGTGAATACCCACGGTGATTGGATAATTTGAACGAATCTGCCACTCAAAAACTTTCGAAGCTTGTCAATCGTTAAATACTTATTTCCAATCAAAACAGTCGCTTCCATGTCAAACTATTGAATGTGAAAATGAGTATCTTTCGAGAGAGCCAAAAAACGGATGTAAAAAATTTGTTGCAATTAAGAAAAAGCCCAGTGGTGGAAACAAAGGGGGGATTTTTGGAGGTTAAACTACGTGTCAGTCAGTGGCGGACCCACGGGGGTGCTTTAATACATAGATGCCATATTATACATACATATATAAATGTACTTCTGAATGACTACTAACTATATTCAGAAGAGTTTTACACTCATCAGCTTCGACTTTGCTGTTCAAGCCACCTGAGCTACCATGGCTTCTCGACCATCCGAGAAAACCTTCCTTCCTGATCTTCTCACCACGAAGGTGGCATAAACTACTGTGATTTAAAATGCGTCAGGCTCCAGTATTACTTAGTAAATACTTCTGACTGGAAAACGCTTGCAAAGCGAAGCAGATGCTGATGCTGGTAAAACTATACATAGTAACATTAGTAGAAGTTTTCATTGAAAAAATAATAATTGTGATCTCGATTTTTTCTTTATCCATATCGAAGACGTTGGCATCGGGGTTTTTAAGCGATATTGAAGTAATTATTGATATTAGACTATTGTCGTTATATTTATTTTTATGTACACNGGTAAATTTCAGAAATGCTTGAAACTGCAATATTTTACACCCCGGCTTATCATGTAGCGGTAGCTTTCGGAAAGGTGGAAAACTTATATTTAATACTTGCGCCGGGTATTTAATGTTCGGCTCCGCCCGAACTTAGACTTTCTTACTTGTTTTTAGTAAATTTGCTAAGATTGTTCTCGATTAATGTGTATCGTAAGTTATAGGTATTTCGACATCTTTATTAATGTATTTATTTATTTATGGATATATTAATCGGTATTTTTGAAGTTTAGTCGATACCTGTGAATCTTGATCGATAACACGATCCATGTTTATTTGTATAGATTTAAAAATGAATGCCATTTAGTATCTGAGACATAACAGCTTTACATATGCAAGTATTTACAATACTCTTCATTTAGCTAAAACCGCGATAAAGGCACCGGATTTACAAGGTGATTCTGGCAACTGTCTTTCAATTCACCATATGTTTCGAAAGACAAAAAGCTTTCGTAAGACAATTGTCAATTCTGGCAACTATCTTGTAAACTCTTACTGTTTTTCGAAAGACTAATTGAAAGATCTGATAACGAGGAAGTATTGGCGTTATCCTGTTCGCCTTTTGGTAGAAAAATTTAAAAATAAAATTAAATTAAAGAAATATATCTGTTTTTCTTTTTAAGCAATGAAAACTAATAAATAAAGGAAAATTAAATATAAAAGGAAAAATAATAAAATGAAATAAAATAAATAAAAATATTTTTAAAAATTAAATTAACAACAAAATTAAAAAAAAAAAACTTAATTAAAAAAATATAAAATAAAATAATATCCTAAGTGAAATAAAAATATATTTTTTTTTTCTTAAGACAGAACAATTAAAAAGAAAATGAAATCAGCAAAAGAAAATTTAATTTAAATTAAAACAAAGAGAAAAGGAACAAAAAACATTTTTCTTTTTGAGTAACATCTAAAAATAAAAATTAAAAAAATTAATTATGAGAGAAAATATAATAGATTAAAAATGAAAAAGGAAAATACATAAAATCAGAGTTAAAAATGAAATGAAATCAACAGAATCTTAAAAGAAAATTAAATTGAAAAAGAAAAAATGTGCATTATATTAAAAAAGATAAAAATTTAAATAAAAAAACCGATGCCCCAGGATTCCAACCCGGAGCTCTCGAATGGCACGCCAGTGCTCTGCTTACTCTCAAAATAAATTTTCACCACGAGTGGTGAATGAGAAGCTTTTTTCTAAGCCTTTTGTGCTAAAATAACAAAAGTTTTTCGAACTATCTTGCCACCTGCCTTTCATTTGTCTTATGAAAAACTATTTAGTGTCTATGTGACATAAGCAAAAAATGCAGCAGTTCAGAACATCCAGTTATAGGAACTAAATGTTAAATTAAAATACTCGCATATAGAGATTTTTATTGAGATTTTATTTTTAGATTATTGCAAAATCGATATTTTATGAGTTTTACTTTTTCCATTAAAAATAAGCCTCATTCAACATTTCTTTTTTTTTAATATTTGTAATCGTGAAGTACAATTTTTCGATCATCGTGGAAGTTAGAGGTGACGTTAATCAGACCAACAGCATTTAAGCAGCAGATTAAGCTGGTCAAATATTTAATGAAAAAGTACCAAAGGATTTGAAAAAGTTAGTTTCCATTTCTTTTTTATGTCATAATATAATTTAAAACACATTTAATTATAATTTAAAAACACAATCTTCCAAAGTTAACGGAGCGGGAAGGAGAGGGAGTTTGAGGAGTTTTTGGCAGAGCTCAATATTCAACTGAAAAATTTGTATTATATATATGTCCATATATGTAGGTATGAAATTTGCGAGTAAACCCAAAAAAAAAATCATTGTACTTGTTTATTTATGAACCTTAAATTCACAACTTCAAATCGATATAAAATGGAAATGGGAACCAACTTTTACAAATGCTTTGGTATCTATTCATCTTTCGACCTCTTTTAATGAATGCAATTGCTCTCGTTCCCATCACACATTTTGAGTGTTGCATTGTGTTATCCTCGAAAAATTCAAGTTTCAAAAGGAAACGGTTAGGTACATGGGCGTAGCCAGGTAGGGGCAGGGGGGTGCTCGAGCCGGCCCACCCTAACTTTCAATTTTTCCTTATATATATGTATATAAAATAGTACCCTGAAATGCCAGCCCCCCTAAATTTCATTCTGGCTACGCCGATGGTTAGGTATGGGATTTTCTGTAATAACGTTTAACTGTACTTTTAAATAGATAAGTTATCGGCCTTTGGTGGTCAAAAAAAGAATTAGCATTCGCGTATTTCGCATGAAAAAATATAAAATTTTATCAATTAAAATAAACTAGCAAAAACTGTATTTTAAATGCTTTTAATTTAAATAGATATGAATTTAGGTAATATTATCTTTCGATTTTTTTTTAAATTTTCTGCGCAAAAAACGTAGCAACAACTCTTGCACTTTTAAATTAAAATTAATCAAAATTAACAAAAATTTTTAATAATAATTAAAGCAAATTTATGCGCATAAATGCAGTTGTCTTTTAAATAGTTTAATGTTTAAGCCACCAGTATTCAAATCAAAAACTCAAATTTAGGTTATCAAATTTTCAAAAATCTTGCTTTGGAATAACTTTTTCCGTAAAAATATTTCAATATTTTATATCACCGTTCAGTTTTCTAATATTTAACACTTTACGATCACTAGCTTTGTGATTTGTTTGCTTAAGTTCCCTGTTACTCGCGTGAGTTTTAACTATTGATCATATTTCACCTAAAGTAAACCACAGATAATAAGCAGACAGTAAGTTTATTATAAACCAAATAAATAGGAATTTATGTTCTTGATTTTAAAATCTTTCTTTATCTTTTTTCGAATATTAAGACCACACATTTGCTTCAAATAACACAAAAAGCTGCAAAGCTTAAACATTTTGTAATTCTTCTTTTAAGTATTTCTCATTTACACAAACATTTTCAAACACTTTTTCACAAATTCTTTCAAAGTTAATTTAAATTTTTTAACTTACAAAACGAAACATTTTCACGTTGTGGAATTCTCAAATTCTTATCCTTAATAAGCGACAATGTAAACTGCTGCTGCAAGTCTTGCTGTAATCCAAAATACAAATGATTGTTGAAAATTTTGGCGTAGCCTATACGATTGTCCGTTAAAAAGGGTGAACGCACACACGTCAGTACCGAACCGTGAGCGGTTTTTGGAGTTAGTTTTGAATGTGATGAGGATTGGGGTTTTGTTAAACCGACAGCGACAAACTTCTTAAACAAACTGCTTCCCACCATGACATGGCCAGCAGTTTTTATAGCCGCCCAAAACCGCGCCACTGCATGCCACAACGCCACAGCACCAACACCGAACATACATACCAATACAGAACCTTGGCGAAGTTGAATAAAGTCAATCAGATTGGAGTGAGTTGTTATTGTTGTTGCTTTTATTGCTAGTTGGCTGATAAGTCAGTACGTAAATATGTTTGCACATAGCTACATATGTATGTATCAATGTGTGCGTGTGTAAATGTTTTTGCACAGCAGTGGCAGTGGTAGCTGGCTGGCGGTGGGCAATGCAAACGTTGGTGTATGGGTGCTGGAACGCCAATAAACAAAAATATTACAAATATACATAATTGTATGTACGTATTAGCAGCTGGCGGACAATAACAATTAAAGTGGTAATAAGAAAATCAATAGTAAAAGCAACCCTAGTGTGCTCTAGGTGCTCCAATAAGTTGACTTGAGCATAAAATCAAAGTAAAAGAAGCAGAAGTAAATAACAAAACACAAAAATGTAAAGCTTAAACTTAAAACGCTTACAAATTTTTGTTGCTATTATTATCGCTGAGTGCTACGCCTGTTAGCTGACCGCTTGTTGTGCATACATACTTGTTTTCTTAGTATTTTCCAGCTTATGCACTAAGTAAGCGGCGACCAGTGCTGGAACCAAACGTCACACACTTGCAAATGTCATTGGCGTGGTTATTCAGCGCTGCGGGTTTTCAGCATTACTAATGCGCTTATACTAGTAAATAAAAGCGAATTTCTTCAGCACTNCTCGAACAGGTGGGCCTTCTGGCTAGCATATTTGTTGGGCGTGTAGAGTGGATCGTATGCCATTTGTGGTTAATTGAGCACAAAACAGTCATAGTTGACTGAATTGTTACACATATACATTCACAAATGCGTACATAAATTTGCGGATTTCATAAATCGAAGATATGTATTTACAAATAATTCAATTTGAGTGCCACAGGCAGAGATTTCGCAAAATTTATTTAAATTTTTTTTTGAAAGATGATGTAATTTGCAACAAATCGAATGCAATGCAGTTTATGTAGCTCAAAACAAATTCGTTTGCTCTTTGGTTCATAGTGAAAATGATGTAAATCTAACCTGTTGCTCAAAAGGTTGCGATTGCATATGGTCAGACCACTTGATGTGTAAACAAAGAGGAAACGAAAAGTATTTGGTGCAATAAAATGACGAATGAAACTAAAAATTATTTATGAAAAAAGAGTGTACTCAGAAGAAATAAATAGGGGAAATTGATTTAAAAACCATGATCAGAGTAATTTTCATGCCCAAGTCTCAGGTCTAGGCCTTTTTAAATGAACATTACCTCTACAAGGGCAGATCGGTAGAATCAGATCTACGCTCGATTGCAGAGAGCATTTAGCAGTAATTTTCATAGAAGGATTACCCGATTAAGGTATTCCTTTATACACGGTGGGCTTTCAATAATATCCTCTCTGAGGTACTCGCAAACTTCCTAGATTATCTGAACGTGCAAGCTTATCAAATTTATCAATGACCTGCTAGCGACTTGGGAGAAAAGCATCTGTCGGTTGATTAATTACATCGACGAGCTATCTCTTACTGTTAGAAAAAAGTTCTTAGGCATCCCGTGTAACATACTTATGCAGTTATACCTGAACTTGTTTGAAAACTGGTATTGAGCTATGGAGCTATGTAGCTGTCCTAAAAGCCAAATATCGAAAAGCATGGTTTCCTTCAGACCTAAAGGGCTGTTTCGCAGATGAATCGAAGTTAAATGGGTAGGTTGTTATTCAGGAGTTCTCTCAAACGTATGGTCATAAACTAAAGAAATATAACAGAAAATTCCATAGCCGTTGTGATAGGAAAAACCGATGATATTGAAGTTAATGTACTGATTTATAAACGTTTAACATTTTCTGAAATATAACCATAGGCCGTTGTAATTGAGTGGTTAGAGGTGCGTACTACCACTTCGTAGGACGTGGATTCGAACCCAGATCTGACAGCATCTAAATTAACAAACAAACAGCTTCTCATAATAAAATATACTCGCCGTTCGGAGTCGGCGTAAAACTGTAAGTCCCTCTGCTTTGTAATACAATTTCAAGGCGCATACCACAAATCGAAGGAGAAGCTAGGCCAAATATTTAGCAAAAGTGTAAGAGCTAAAATATTACTATTATTATTACTATAGAATTTTTCTCTAGGAACAACTTTATCAGATTGTCATAAATGACATAGAAAGAATCGAAAATGATTTTTTCACGCGATTAGATTTTCATTTTCGCGATCTGCTTTTATCTTTCTGACTTTTAGACTAAAGTGTAATCATCAAACTTGCTTTTCTTTCCACCGCTGAAAATTGGTTGCGAAAACATTTAATTCTTTCAATAATAAACCAATTGCCTGAAGTAACCTATTAGTGAAAATGACCCTTTGTAAAACGGTAACCCAAATTATAGTCACCACTGCCGTTTAATAGGCATTTTATGTTTTTTTCAATGTAATTTTAGGAATGTTCTAATGCGTTTATGGCATTACCAACAGCAGTTGGCAGCCATGGCTAACAATTCAGTATCAAATATGCGCTCACTCTCAGTTATTGTACTATTTAATTATAAAATATCTATACATATAATAAAATTTTAAAAGGCCGATCTCTGCACATTATAGATTTTAAAGAAAATTAATATGGGGGGTCTTTATTAGAACAATAAAAACAAAATCAATAATTTTTATAATTTTTGTCATCTGTCTGCCTGCCTGTATGTTTGTACGCGCATCACTCGAAAACTAATGCATGAAATTGATTAAGCTTTCGCCGATATATTTCTAGAGGTCTAACTTAAAATATGGATAGAAAAAATAGAGAGTTGCCACCTGGTTGGAAATTGCAGTTAAGGTAAATTGATAAGATAAAGTAAATACTGAAACTGATACATTTCAATCTGTTCAGAATTGACCGCCAATTTACTCAGTTAATATCCCTTTCCATCTACTCCGCCTTCGCCGAAACCACGGAATTCCTGGGACTGCTGTTAGTTGAGCTGGACGATAACAAGCAATGACCCACTCGATCTATACGGCGCTAAGTAAAAAGTTGGTTGACGTAAATAGAAAGTTATTTGTTTACTTT